CTCCAGGTTTGGAGTCCCTGTGGGGTGGTTCTTTTCCGGCCCCAACCTCGGCTGTCTCCAGGTTTGGAGTCCCTGTGCCTTCTTTCACCAACTTGGAAGTCATCTCCGGAGCTGGAGCCCCCTGGGACAGTTCATTGTTGCCTTCAACCTCGTTCTGACAGTTCCTGCAACGGCGCTGGAACCAATCATATTGGCATTGCCTTTGCATTGGAGACTTTCAGCGCTGTGGAGAGGGGAAGACCTGCTGCTTGGGTAACAGCTTCTCCTCCGTATCAACCTACCCTGGCTTTGCGCCCTGGAGAGGCCACTCCAGACCGACAACCAGAGCACAACTCCGTAGTCTCCTGAGACTGATGGATGCTTACTACTGTTAGAAGTATTGGACATGTTTTGTGATGCATACAAGTTGGTTTCATATACTGTACCATATATTTCGGCCAGTCTCGCATAATATATAACTGTAAAAATCCTAGAGGAGTGCTTGGTTCAGTCAAGCCTGGTGTTCTAGTAAAACTGTCTACAGATGGTGCAGTGTTGTCAGTAGACCAGGCTTCACCAGAACTGGTGCGTGGGGTACGTGCGGTACGAGTTCTAATAGCAGGGCTTTCACGGTTGGCAGTACAATCATCATCATCACTCCCCCTCACTTTCAATTTCATCCTCACCTGCTGTTTGAGTTTCAGTCACCTCACCATCTTCATCACTGTCACTTTCGGCACTTTCAAGATCAAAATCAGAAAATTTGTCAACTAAAGGCTGGAATTTTGTTAGTGTGAGTTTCACTTCTCTGTACTTTTGGCGAACACTACTTAGCTTTTTCCTCAGATGTGTTTCTTTCCCTGCTTTCGTCACGGACTGGCACTGTTCTTGATCACTATCCATCTTGGAGTAAATGTAGAGTGTTATAAAGGTACTAACAAATATAGCTGAGGAAAAATAACCAAAACAGGCACATGTTTTTGTGCGACGGAAGGTCACAGCGGTCACGAGCGTGAACACAATAACAGTAGGCTTACCGCGTGGGTGGTGGTGCCATGATATCACATGGGCCATCACAGAAAATGGGAAGACGTTGGCACACTTTTTAAAATAAGTCCTATAATGATCGGAAAAAATGCATTTTTAACTAATATTTTTACTTAGGACGCAGCGTGCGTCCTCGCCCAGACTGAGATGCATGCTTGTTTAGATTCCTAAATGTTGTTGTTTGTTAACCTCTCATATGCTGCTAATGTTATCCTGTTCATGTGAGCTTCTGGTGTCAGTGTTGGGATAATGTCTTCTCCCAGGTGTTTTTATCTTGTTGTTTCTTATAATTGCCTTCCCGTTATGACATAGTTAAATACAGCTCTCCTATCTCCCTTGTGCATTTTCATTACTTTGCACTTATTTAGATTGAATTCCAGCAGCTATTTATCTGCCCACTCCAAAAGTTTGTCAGGCATCTTGCAGTACTCTACAGCCTTCTTCAGTTCTTACTCTCCTCATTAACTTTACATTATAAGCAAACACTGGCATGTTAAAACTTACTCCTTATGGAGGTCATTTACATAGATAGATAGCTCTTGATTTATGCCCCTGTCCTTCAAGATGTTGTCAAGATTTATGGTTCCCAGCTCCTGTATCATCAGGCAATGCTGACCACCTCGTGGTTTCGGCACGGGCCCCTGGCTCTTCTTTACGCTTCTTCTTTTTCTCCTTTGTGGTTTCCGGAGAAGGTTGTGGTATGGAATTGTCCTTGTGTTTGTAGCGGTTAGGTAGGGCTAGGGGTGTCACCTGTTTTGTTCAGTGGAGGCCAATTCCAGAGCCATTGGCTGGGCTGCTTCTGTTTCTTTAGGCTGGTTCTTCATCTGGTCGGCACCGTGCTCTCCTTCTTCGAAGCTGTAACTTGGAAACTTGGAAACTGTGTTCCAAAGAGAAAACGGAACAGCCTTACGAGGTTGGAGTAGCCGGCTTACCTGGTCTGCATCCCTCCTTCCCTGAAACAAAAGGGGGATGTGGGACAAACAAGCTCATGCTAGTTCCATAACTTTTCAACCATTTCTTTACACCGTTGGGAGAGTTCTTTTGGCGAGTCTGAGGCATCGATATTTCCTTACAACCAGCAGTGGTCTGTTTTGTCTCGCTGACTTAATGGGTGCTTACCCTGTGGTGGAGGACATGATAAAAATTCACTGACAATTTGATCATAGTGCTCACTGCGCCTCTTTAGAAGGAGCCAGATTCTGGCTCATAGTTTCCAATAGGCTTAAAAGAACTCTGCGACTAATAGCACCTAGTATTTTGGCACTATATCAATATTGTAGCTTCAGGGAGCCAATGGGGCTCACCCAGAAATTGGCATTTCATTACATTCAATGCTTTTTTCTGGAGGGGGGGGGGGGGGAGCCTCATCGACTATTCACGCTGAATGGATATGTATAACTTTCTGGCATCAGTCAATGCGCATGGAGTTCTTGCCTACTGGGGACTACGAGCCAGAACCTGGCCCCCTCAAGAGATGGGGGGGCCAAGAACAAGAATAGGGGTTTGTTTTGGGATGCTTACCTTTCTGGGTGCCTGACCCACTCGATGGTAGACATAGAATGCTCCCAACCACACGGGGGTTTCTATAGGCCATTGCTCCTCGTGCCTCTCTTGAGGGGGGGCCAGGTTCTGGTTTGTGGTCCCCGGTAGGCAAGAACTCCATGCACATTGACTGATGCCAGAAAGATATACATGTCCACTCAGCCTGGATAGCTTCGGGGAGCCGATGGGGGTTCCCCCAGAAAATGGCGTTTCATTACATTCAGCGCTGGTCTTTTCTTCTATCTTGTAGTTTTGGGAAATTTAACGCCTCTAGCCTCTCTTCATAACAATTGTTTTTCAGTCTAGAAGCCATTTTGTAGCATGCCTTTGCACCTTTTCCAGTTTATTTGATGTGCTTCTTGAGATTTGGGCACCATTCAACTGCTGCATATTCCAGTTTTGGTCTCACAAAAGTTATGAACAGTTTCTTTAGTATTTCAATATCCATGTATTTAAAAGAGATTCTGAAGTTGGATTGTGCAGCACAGGCTCCTCGCACAGTGTCCTGTATGTGTCCCTCTAGTCACAATCTACTATCCAGAACCACTCCTAGATCTCTTTCTTTGTTAGACTTCTCTAATTCCTTTCCACATAATTAGTAGGTTGTGTGTGGCCTATTTTCTGCTATTCCACATTCCATAATGTGCATTTATTTACATTGAATTCTATTTTGCCATATAGTGCTCCAAGCATTTATTTTATCTTGGTCATATTTAAGAGCATGACAATCATCTAGGTTTTCTATCTTCCCCAGTAGGTTAGCATCAACAAACATGTTCATATCATACTGTATTACTCTTGGTAGATAATTTATGGAGATGATGAACATTACTTGCGCAAGAACTGAACCCTGTGGTACTCTGCTAGTAACACACTTCCAGTCAGATACATTGTCTCTGATTACTGTCCTCATCTGTCTGTCAGTTAGAACATTTTTCATCCATGTCAGCAGTCTCCCTGTCACTCCTCCAGCATGTTCCAGCTTCCAGAACAGTCTCTTGTGTGGGACTCTGTCAAAAATAGGCTTTACATTACAGTCAATGCTGGTTTTGTTTTTATTTTTTAACTAGCACGTCTCCCTGACTTAACCTAAATATGCCTATTATTCTAAACCTCTGCTTAATGTGCATACATAGACACATTAGGAAATATGTAGGCCAAGTGATAGGATTGAACCCACAACCCATTATTCCCCAGACACGTGTTATACTGTCTGAACCATACTGAGCTCTGGAGCATCTTAGAGTTTGGAAGACATCATCCTTTACCACAAATCTCTATGAGATGCCCACCTACACTCTGGTGTCTTGTTGTTTTAGATTCAGCTACTTGGAACCAAAAGTTGCAAGTAGCACGGGCTATGGTGAGCCCGTAGTGGACTTACCTGGCACAGGAGCGGGGCAAGTAGCGTGGGCTATGGTGAGCCCGTAGTGGACTTACCTGGCACAGGAGCGGGGCAAGTAGCACAGGCTATGGTGAGCCCGTAGTGGACTTACCTGGCACAGGAGAGGGGCAAGTAGCACGGGCTATGGTGAGCCCGTAGTGGACTTACCTGGCACAGGAGCGGGGCAAGTAGCACGGGCTATGGTGAGCCCGTAGTGGACTTACCTGGCACAGGAGCTGTGTCCTCGGGTGTCAGTATAGTAGTGATGTTCTCACCATCCATCACTTGGCCTTAATATTTTCTCGTAAATACATCACATTATTGTAATTTCACTGTGCACATAAATACTTTAATAGATTCTTGAAAATAATAAATGAATATATATTTATTATATACTGTATATATATACACACCTAATCATTAATTTTTCACTTTTTGAGTAGTAAAGATACTTTGTGTAGTTTATAGTACAGTTTAAGGAGATTTAAATAAATGGGATAACAAACACTTTCCCAGTGGGCACAGTATCCGAGGGTGGCATTGATTCAACATTAACGTTAACTCAACATTGATGTCGTTCATTTGACGTTGAATTGACGTTGCTCTTGTATATTGTGCCCACTGTATCTATGCTTGGACAAGGGTGGTTTTATTACTTTATTTAGCTGAATTATCTTGAGGTTATCTTGAGATGATTTCGGGGCTTTAGTGTCCCCGCGGCCCGGTCCTCGACCAGGCCTCCACCCCCCAGGAAGCAGCCCGTGACAGCTGACTAACTCCCAGGTACCTATTTACTGCTAGGTAACAGGGGCATTCAGGGTGAAAGAAACTTTGCCCATTTGTTTCTGCCTCGTGCGGGAATCGAACCCGCGCCACAGAATTACGAGTCCTGCGCGCTATCCACCAGGCTACGAGGCCCCCAAATTTCTCCACAAATATTTTTTCCTTTGTTAGAAACATACATTGTATCCTGGAAATGCTGTTGTTAATGCACAAGTTCAAACTTTGTTACATAATACAGGATGTGAGTATTGTTTTCCTTGCCTAGGTACAATAAAGAAGAGTTGACCTGTCCTTTGTGTGACTATTCCTGTACCGTGGAGAAGGCCTTCAGACGCCACCTGAAGACGCACGAGGCAGGCCACCGTGGACCAGTATCAATAGTGTCGTGTTGTATCTGCGGTAAGTTGCTGCTCACGTTTATGTGGAGAGTTTTGTGTGTGTTGGTGGGTAAGGTTGTTAAGGCATTTATTTTGAACATGGAGTTTATGGTGATTTTATCTTGACTAGTTCAAAGTTTGCTAGATAGTGAAGGATGAGCTATGGGTATACGCTGCACACTTTTATCTTTATTCACCTGGTCAGTCACTTCTTTTCTGGGGAAGTACCTTGTGACTCCCTGAAGCCATCTTGCTGAGATGGCTGCTTACTACTAGGTCATATCAGCATGGAGTTCTGTTTGCCCTACTGGAGACCAACGCCACAATCTTGTCCCCCCCCCCCCCCCCTCCCCTCGCAAAGCCAACAAGAGCAGGTGACACTGAGCCATTCCACTGGGAAAGCATCCGGAAAGTCTGCAAATTAATACAGCCCACTGCAGGGTTCAAAGACAATGATTCCTCAGAACTGCCAAATGAACTCCCCAACAATACGTCTTTGCAATACGTGCAGTTTGCATGAAGGTCCCCAAAAATGCAAACAAATGATCAAATCTGTGTAAACATGTATGAACTCATTACCTCCCACCAGTGGGGAGGGATGGAGCTCCAGGTGCCCACTGGTCTACTAAGCCAGTTCTGTCACTGATGAGGACCGTAGTGGATGTCCACTGTCGGTCTCCTTAGTTGTCAGCATGCCATAGTGGGTCTTTGTATGTAGGACTTCACAACCCTGGCCAATTTACTTTCACCTGTGGCAGGTTAGGGCATATTCCTATCTCAGCACAGTGGGTATTAAAAATCTTGAATCATAATTAAAAAAATGTCTTTAATTCTAAAACCTGTGTATGTTAGATTATAACCTACACAGCAAAGCAAAGCATTGGCAAAGAATTATAGACCAGTTGCACTAACGTCCCTCATAATTAAAGTATTTGAGAGAGTGATCAGGAGTCAGGTCTAGAGTGGGAAGATCATGCCTCTCACAGCTACTTGACCACTATGACAAAATCACTGAGGCATTAGAAGAAAAACAGAATGCAGATGTGGTTTACACGGATTTTGCAAAGGCATTCAATAAATGGAAGGAGACGAGAGAGATACCAAATAATATACACATGGAAAATACTTGAAGGACAGGTCCCAAATCTGCACAGTAAAATAACAACGTACTGGAGTGAACTCATGGAAGAAAATGCAGAATAGAACCAGTGAAGAGCAGAGGTGCCATGGGCACAATCGGAGAACACTGTATGAACATCAGAGGCCCACGGTTGTTCAACGTCCTAGCAGCGAGCATCAGAAATATTGCCGGAACAACTGTGGACATCTTTAAGAGGAAACTAGTTTGTTTTCTTCAAGGAGTACCGGACCAACCGGGCTGTGATGGGTATGTGGGCCTGAGGGCCGCTCCAAGCAACAGCCTGGTGGACCAAACTCTCACAAGTCACGTCTGGCCTCGGGCTGGGCTTGGGGAGTAGAAGAACTCCCAGAACCCCATCAACCAGGTATCAACCAGGTAAATGTGACCATGGGGTGATAGCACACAAAATGAGGTCAATGGGAATAACTGGTAAAGTAGGACAGTGGATACTCAGGTTTTCTGTTGAGCAGAACACAAAGAGTAACAATCAATCAAATAAAATCGAGTCCAAGCGCAGTTAAAAGCTCTATACCTCAAGGTACAGTCCTTGCACCACTGCTTTTCCTTATTGTCATATCAGATATAGACTCAAATACAAGTCACAGCTTCGTGTCATCCTTTGCAGATGACACAAAAATCACCATGAAAATTACCTCTGCTGAAGACATTGAAAAACTACAAACAGATATTAATACAGTTTTCCACTGGGCAGTCAAAAATAACATGATGTTTAACAGTGATAAATTCCAGGTACTCAGGTACTGAGTCAACCAGAAAAATGATCGGATGGATTACAAGAACTTTCAAATTTAGGTATCCCATCACAATGGTTGTACTCTTCAAATCATTTGTGCTGTTCCATCTTGTGTACTGCTCAGTACTCACTTACCCCTTTGAATCTTCCCTGCACTCACTTACCCCTTTAGAGCAGGAGAGATTACTGAAACCGTGGGAGTACAGAGAACACAAATGGCATACATAGATGCGATAAAGCACCTAAATTGTTGGGATCGTCTCAAAGCTCTCCAAAGGTACTCGCTAGATAGGAGATGAGAGAGATATCAAATAATATACACGTGGAAAATACTGGAGGGCCAGGTACCAAATCTACACAGTAAAATAACAACGTACTGGCATGAATGATATGGAAGAAAATGCAGAATAGAACCAGTGAAGAGCAGAGGTGCCATAGGCACAATCAGAGAACACTGTATAAACATCAGAGGTCCACGGTTGTTCAACATCCTCCCAGCGAGCACAAGAAATATTGTGGGAACAACCGTGGATATCTTAAGAGAAAACTAGATAGTTTTCTTCAAGAAGTGCCAGACCAACCAGGATGTGGTGGATCTGCGGGCCTGTGGTGCTGCTCCTAGCAACAGCCTGGTGGACCAAACTCTTACAAGACAAGCCTGGCCTCGGGCCAGGCTTGGGGAGTAGAAGAACTCCCAGAACCCCATCAAGCAGGTATCAAAGCTGTGCATGCGTCTAGGGTCACCTTCCCTAGGTGCTCCGTGAGCACTGCCCTTGTGTGGTCAGGGTTCTCTTTATTGGGGCATTCGGGATTCATTCCCTGTTAAAGGACTTCCTCGTTTGTGGTTGTCCTCGCCCTTGGGGTGAATCGGGGGTCTTGGGCTTTCTGCTTTGCCCCCAGGTAGGGGAATGTTTATCGGCTGGTGGGATATACTGTGGCTGGTGCAGCCTGATACATCAATCACGCGGCGGTCGACGTTTCTCGCCGACTGCTTGTTGGCTGTTGTGGAGTTACGGGGGGTTTAGTTTTTGCTTTGGTTTACTGGCATTCTTGCCTGTTTTTTCAGAGGAGTGCTGTTTAGTACCTCATTAGACTCTGCCTAGGGTGTGGTGGTGTACCTCCTCTGTTGCACCAAGGCTTTACAAGTGGCTGCTTGTGGTCGGTTTTCCTGCATCGATAGGGTTGACCGGCTTAGTAGGCTTCAGTGCCTGGGCTTCCTGTAGGGCTCATTTACTCTAGGGCCCTGAAAACCCCCCGTGGGCTCGGTCGTACAGTGGATACTTCTTCCGAGCCAGCTCTCGCCTTGTGCCTTTTGCACAGGGGCTTCTGCATGGGAGAGGGTTTTCATACCTTTCTTCCCTTTATAAGTTTGAGTTTGATGGGGCTTTCCTCCGAGTTCGTTTCCAGGTGCCTTTGGGTTCCTCGGATTCGTTTTTTTGGAGGTTATCTTCCTCTCGGATATTCCCAGTGGAGGTTCGGGATGCGAAACTGTACATGATGCTTACCTCCTGCGGGACACAGTTTAGTCCTCAGTGATGGATTCGACTTCCTCTGAGTTCAGTTATTCTTCCTCGTATTGGGTGCGTTATGAGGTTCCGGAGTCTTCCTGGCTGGCAGACTGTCCCTTCTTTTCTCTTGGGGGCTTGGTGTGGCTTTTGTCGTACCCACACGCTTTAGCGGCAGGAGGTTACCACTGTGTTGCTGATATTCATAGAGGGCTCTCTAGAGTTTTTCAGTGAGTGCCTCTTTGCCCCTGCACTTCCTTAGGATGTTGGTTTGGTGCAGCTTCATGCTCAGGCCTCCACTCTTTCAGTTGCTTTGGTGGTCGATGATTTGCGGACTTACAGCCACTTGGCCTCTGTCTTGTGATTCTTCAGTCTTCAGGAGCTGTCTTTGGATTGGCTTTCAGAAGATGCAAGGTCGCAAGGTGAGACACCCCCCTGGCTGGAATCTTTGTCTCAGCTGCTGCTGCATTGTCTGATTTATGTAAGCTGTATGCACCAATCCTTCGGGAGGCAGTTTCCATGTTTATCACCTCTCGTCTTGCATGTCGATAGACTGTTCTCGCTTTCTTTTGTTGTATTTGGTGATATCTGGTCGGCGCGGTGTTCGCTCTGCATGGAAGTTGAGCTCTTTGGGTTCATGTCGTCCCTTTTGCGGGTTGCCCCATTGATGTACATAGACAAATGCCCAAAGCTAATACTCCATATCAGCCTGGATTAGCTTCGGGGAGCCTCCGGGTCCTACTCAGAAAATGGCGTTTCATTACATTCAACGCTGGTTTTTTAGGTCCAGATAGATGCAGTTAACCCAACCATATCTTTCCTGTAAAATCTCTGTGGCTCTATCATAGAAACTGAGTAAATTCATTACACAGGATCTTCCAGATCAAAAACCGTACTGTCTCTGCTATTACAGCATATAATTTTTCTCCAGGTGTTCTACCCATTTAGTTTTAATTATTTTTTCCAATATTTTGACTATTACTCTTGTAAGTGATACAGGTCTATAAGTGAGGAGGAGGGGGGGGGGTCTTCCCTGCTGCCACTTTTGTAGATAGGAACTATGTTAGCAAATGATTTGGAACTCAAATACAACAGAATCATTTGCAATCATGACAAGAAATTTGAGGCATATTATAGGAAAGAATAAGATCTGTTAATATATATATTAATGTTAAATTTTGTGGAGGACCAAAGGGCCATATAGATAGCTTATATATGAGTACTGATGAACAAATCGTATCGAATACTCAACAAATGTTTGTAAGGACTTGCTATGTTTAACAGCTAAACAAAGTAGTAGATGATGCAGAGTTAAGAGTAACATTAATTTTTTTTTTTCAGGCAAAGACAGACCTAACGAAGGTGAGATGAAAGCACATATGAAGAAGCATCGTATAGGAAAATACTATCGTTGCGATATATGCAAATTCCAAACTGTGCAACTCAAAAAGGTATGTTATGGACTTTAGTTCTGGCTGTTATTTTGACATCTCACTCTTGCATAGTTGTCACAAGAATGTGATATGTCTGAGTAAATATTAAAGGCGTTTCCTTGGATGGAAGCCTCCATACAAGTCAAGTAGCACATCAGGGTTGAGTCAGTGATGCATATGCCAGAGGAGTTGAGGTATGCAGGTTTGATCCCATTGTATGGCTTTATTAAATCAAATTAAATCAAATATTTATTCAGGTAAAGTACATACCTATAAGGTGAGATACAAACATAATGTTGGATTTATAGATAAAGCTAGTACATACAATGCCTAAAACCACTATTATGCACAGCGTTTCGGGCAAGGTGTGGGAAAAAATACTTAGACTAGAACTTAACACAAATTTACTAGTATTTACTATATTGAGTAATGTAAATTTACTATACATTGAGTTGAAAAAAAGGAGGGGGAAAAATACATGGTAGACATCAGCAGTTATACAAGTTGGTCAGCAAACAGTGTTGTTTGAAAACAGCAAGACATGGGTTGACATTTAGGGGGTAAGGTAGGTTACAGGGAGTTAATTAGGTAGTGCTTAGTTTTTCTCTCTAACTGGTTGAGAGAGGTACAGCCTTTGACATGATTGGGAAGGTCATTCCACATTCTGGGTCCCTTGATTTGTAGAGCATTTCTAGTTTGGTTAAGTTGTACTCTTGGAATATCAAATAGGTATTTGTTTCTGGTGTGATGCCAGAAACTTCAGAAATGTAACAGAAGGTTCTGTTACATTTTTGTTCAATTTCGGAGCCGGCTCCGCTTTCAGACCCGTCTTGTCTGGTCGGCGAGGTGTTCGCTCTGTGCGGAACTTGGGTTCTTGTAAGAGGCGTTCGCCGTTTCGTGGTTTGTCCCATTGACGGGGCGATAGGGGAGAAGCTTGCTGTGTTCGCTCATGCCTGGTCCCATGATTTGTGGGATTTTCGGGTCGTTTTCGACGGCCTGTGGTGACGTTGGGTAGCCGCTCCTCCTTTGGGTGGTTCGAGGCTAACGGAGCAGACCTTTTCTCCTGTGCTTTTCGGGTCATCATGGAGTGGGTGCACTTGGGTGTGGTAGAAAAGACGAGGTCTCTCAGATGGGTTTCCCGTCTATTACCAGTTCTGAAAAGGGACTGTACGGCCCTGTAGTTCATTCTGGACTTGTCCTGTCTAAACCCCTAGGTTCATTTTCCCTACTTTCAGATGACTACTCTGTCCCAGGTCCGGCTTCTGTTGGAGCCGAACACTTGGATGGTGTTCCTGGACCTCTGGGATGTGTATTGGCACGTCCTGATTCATTCGGGGTTCAGGGACTGGCTCGGTTTTGTTGTGGGCATCAGAGTTATTGCTTTCGTTGTCTCCCATTCGGGTTGAACCAGGCACCTCGCGTTTTCACATGCCTTACTCGGGCCGTGGTGGCTTGTCTGCATCTCTTAGGTGTTCGGGTGCTGGCCTATCTCGACCACTGGCTGGTCTGGACTCCCAGCTGGTCCGCTTCTCTGCCCACCAGGAATTTGGTTCTTTCCCAGCTCGCCGGGTTCGGGTTCATGGTGAACTGGAGGAAGGCCCCATCTAGTTCCTTTCCAGGTTCGGACTTAGCTGGGTCTTGTTTGGGACTCTCAGATCGCTTCCTTGTCTCTTCCTCTGGAGTCTCTCCTTCGGCTGCAGTTCCGCTGTTGCCTGTTTCCGGGAGAGGGGGGGGGGGGTCCCAGGTCACTGGAGGATTTGTGCGGGAGCCTAAACTTTGCCGTGATGGTCTACCCGTCGGGTCAGGTTTGGCTTCGTTGGCTGCTCTGGTTTCTTTGGAGCTATCCCTTCCACCTCTCTTGCGCGATCGCTGGGTTCATCAGCCAGGGGCCTTGCATTCGTTGCTGTGTCACCAGCTTCCCCTTCGGGCTTTTTGGGGTTCAATGCCTTGGGGCCTACCTGAGCCCTCGCTCGATGTTTTCACGGATGAGTCGTCTCTAGGCTGGGGCTTTGTGACCAGTGCTCACCAGGTCAGCCAGGGGTAGTGGGATCCGTCCTTCCGTCACGCCTGCAGCACCTTGCGAGAGTTCATGGCGGTGTGGTATTCTCTTCGGAGGGTTCAGGTCGCCCTCTGATCGACGCTCCGGCTCAATTCGGACTGCTCCCCAGTGGTTCATTGTCTGAACTGCAGAGGGTTCAATGCAGTCTTGGCTCTTTGGGGCTGGTCGCTTCGGGTGATTCGTCTGCTGTATTCTTGGGGTTTGTCTATCCTGGCCGTTGACGTTCAGGGGGTGTCCAACGTTCTGGCGGACAGCTTGTCTCAGTTTGTTCCCCTGTCCACAGAATGGACGGTTAATGATGTTACTTTGGCACCATTTCGCAAGCTGTCTCGTGCGTTGTTTCACCTCCGGCATGCTCATGTGCCGCTTGAGCCGTCCTGGTCCTTGGATCGGGTGCTTTCTTTTCTCTCTTCTCCTCGGTTTGTTGCGGCCCCTTTGGTTCTGGATTTTTTCCAAGTTTTTTCTGGAGGGGGGGGGAGCCCCGTTGGCTCCCCAGAGCTTTTCAGGCTGATATGCTAATGTCATACTTTGGCATCATTCATGTGTATGGAGTTCTGTGGGCCTACTTGGGACCACGGGCCAGAACCTGGCCCCTCTCAGAGAGGCATGGGGAGCAATGGCCTATAGAAACCCCTGTGTGGTTGAAAGCATTCTATTTATACTTTTAACTCAATTAGTATTAAGTTTTAGTCTTTAATGTTTTTCCTGCCCGAAACGCTTTGCGTAATAGTGGCTTTAGGCATTGTATGTACTAGCTCTATCTATATATCAATCAACTTTGTATCTTACCTTGTATGTATGTACCTTACCTGAATAAAAATTTATTTATTTATTTATTTATTTATTTATTTATTTATTTATTTATGTCTGCCATCGACTGGGTCAGGTACCCAGAAAGGTAAGCGTTCCAAAACAAACCCCTATTCTGGTGAAAAATTGCTACCAAAAGTTGAACAAATGGATAGAACTCCCATAAAAAGAAACGAGCAAACGAGCATGACGTCACATGTTGCCGCTCCGCTGTTTCCGCAGCCCCCCCCCCCTCCCCAGGAGGGGGAAGGGGGAGCCACAGACCCCTGCACCGGCTATATACCTCTCAGTTCTGAGGCTGATGCTATAGGCAACGGTCGTGTGCTCTGGCTCCGATGGTTGTTTCAGCACTGTGCCTTGTGTGTGGTGACTATCTTTTAGGTGGTGCGTGAACCGAGTGATTCTCCAGTACTCGGGCTGCATGCACCTGGGGCTTCCTTCCCTAGGTTCCCAGTAAGTACAGGGGTACCTCGTTTTAAGAATTTAATCCATTCCTGCAGACAGTACGTAACTCGAAAATTCGTAAACCGAAGCGAATTTCCCCTAAGAAATAATGGGAAATGAATTAATCCGTTCCTGACTCCCCAAAAACTTCACTTCAAGGTATATTTTATACCCAATTCACCCAAATCTTCACTACAAAAGTATGTTCAAGTTATTACTTACCCTTGCTGATGACGCCTGTTTGCGTATGGAAGATGGTGAGGAGGGGGGGGGAAGAGATGTTTTTTTGGAAGGGGAGTCCCCTTCCATTATAACATCAGGCTGTGAGGACCTCTCTGGAGTGCACTCTCTGGCACGTTTTGCCTGCATACACTAGGTTCTGGTTGTGGCTCACTGCTTGATTTTCTCACTTTTCTCACAAGGAAACGTTCCATTAAAGATTGTTTTTCCCTTCTTTGCAATACTTGTCCGTAGTGAGGCATCACATTGTCATTAAAAAGATCAATGCAACGGCCTACTACATCTTTATCTGGGTGATTCTTTTCAGCAAAACTTTGCAGTCCTTCCCATACTGCACACATTTTCTTAAATAATGTGGAAGGGACATTCTCTACTGCCTCCTCTTCCTTCTCTGAAGATTTGTTGTACTGCCTAGCTAGTTCAACAACACGAGTACCATTTTCATGCTTACGGATGATCTCTTGTTTTTCCTTTATGGTCATTCTCACATGTGATTTCTTGCCTTGAACCTTACCACTGGCTTTCTTGGGACCCATGGCGAGATATATAATAACACCTTTTATGCTCAAATGGCCAAAAATCCGACAAAAAAGCTGTAAATTCTTGTTAAGAATTCTGGCGGGATAGTCACTGGGCGCGAGGCACTGGTAAACTGAGGCACGATTGCTGTGCCACCACGCGCTAGGTCGGCCATACGCGTATCAACAAACTCGTATCCCGATGCAAAGTTCGTATCCTGATTTAAATTTTCCGAACAAATCAGGCTCGTAACCCGAAAAGTTTGTAAACAGGGACGTTCGTAACCTGAGGTACCACTGTACTGCTTTTGGGGCTTGGGGCCACCTTCCACAAGTTCCTTGGGTTCTGCTTCTGCTAGGTTGTTTACTGCTTAGTTTTCGGCCACCATTTGTGTGCTAGGGTGTTCTGTCTCCCTTGTTTGACTTAGGATTGGGGCAGTTTGCACTGGTCGGGGTGCAGGGTGCTGCACAGCTTGTTTTCACCAATCATAGCGGCCGGCTCTGTTCCAACTGGGCATGCTGTCCTATTGCGGGGTTTTCTTCTTCTTTTTGTTTGCCTGCCTGGTGGGGGTGGGGGGCCTTGCCTTCGTTCTTGCCCCCTGTGTACTGAGTTCTCTTCCTTCTTCTGGTACTCACCTAGTTACCTAGTTGTACTCACCTAGTTGTGTTTGCGTGGGTTGAGCTCTTGCTCTTTGGTCCCGCCTCTCAACTGTCAGTCAACTGGTGTACAGATTCCTGAGCCTATTGGGCTCTATCATATCTATATTTGAAACTGTGTATGGAGTCTGCCTTCACCACAACACTACTTAATGCATTCCATTTGTTAACTACCCTGACACTGAAAAAATTCTTTCTAACGTCTCTGTGGCTCATCTGGGTACTAAGTTTCCACCCGTGTCCCCTTGTTCGTGTTCCACCCGTGCTAAAGAGTTTGTCTTTGTCCACCC